TTTTTTTTTCATGTAGGGATACACTTAGAGTATAACTGATAAGTTCATAGTAGTTGTAATAATTCTTCGATATATGTGGCAAGCATCTTGGGACGCAATCCCATGCTCAAGCAAACTCAAATCAATAAAAAAGAAAATAACTAAATGGTACACTCTGCCAAATACYTATAGGCTATAGATGTTCTGAAATTATTAATACAAGATCAAGGATTGGTCATACCAACCTGACCCACATTCATATCATAAAACATGAGAAGCAACCACTCTGTAGCCAATGCAGCAACCGCTCTCAATCAAACACATAGTTTTAGACTGTCCTCTATACTTCAATGCAAGAAATATCCTCAAACAACCTTCATCGATGAAAGAAGCACTAGCAGAATATAATATACACTTTATCCATAGCTTGCCTCTTAAGATGCATTTACATCGGCTAGAAAATGTWATAGGCATCATGATAAAACTGTACAACTAACAAAAATGTAAACATACAATCCTGTAAAARTTACTAACCCCATAACCATGTCATCACCAATYACAACTAAACTATCCATAAATAATAAATTAAATACAATCATAGGCTAATGACCTAGCTGTTGAAGCCTTTATTCTCAATAAAAAAATAATTTATTTTCAAATTCAGTATTTTTTCTAGTGATAARGTTAATCAACTTTAATTAGTACTTAAGAGAAGTCAATATCGACAATATCCAAGAGTTTAAGGGTAAAAAAAGGGGGGATTTTTAAGCGAATCCAATGTTTGTCAAAATCAATATAGTTTTTTGTTATGTAAYTAAAAAGCGTATAACTGTAGATAGGTACTTAAAATRTTTACAGGATGTTTATTTCATCATTTAAAATATTGTTTTCATGTTTCCAGACATACATTCTTTTTTTTTGTATATCTGAGATACAATTAAAAATAATCATTACCATGGAAAATATAAATGTCACAGTAAATAATTAGTTTAAAATTTATGTACAYATTTTGAAATATTAAAATTCATTAAGATCAATTATAAATAATCATATTTTCTAAATCTACGATTGATTGAAATAGTAAAACAAATAAGAAATTAAAGGAGAACTATGGATAACCAGGTTTAAGACTATTTAAATTTTATTGATATTAATTGGGTTAAATGTTTTCTTATTATTATTTTTAGGACATTGAAATTAATGAAGTATTTGACTTGATGGACACAAGTGGGCAAATGACAATTAGCACAAGAGATTTTAAATTTGCATTAAAAGCATTAGGATTAGAACTGCCTCGAGATCAATATATACAATTATTATCTAGAATGGAGAAAGACCAAAAAGGTTTAATAAAAAAGGAAATATTTATTAAAGAAATGAGTAAAGTATTGCCAAAAAGAGATGTTAAGATTGATATGATTAAAGCTTTTCGATTGATTGATGAAGATGACACAGGAAAAATAGATTTTAACAATTTAAAGAATCTTGCCATATTACTAGGGGAACAAGTATCTGATGAGGATATAATCAATATGTTAAATGCTGCAGATGAAGATGGGGATGGACAAGTGAACTTAACTGAGTTTATGAGGATCATAGAAAGAGCT